CGGACCTTTCCCGATCCCATCCCCCCCCTCTCTCCCACTTCGCTTCCTGTCTCACTATTATCCTATCAATAAAAGGCAAAAACGCCAAAAATAAATCTAAAAAAATTGTCTTTCGTGAGTTGGCACAGCGTGGAGGACGGAACAAAACCTCGTCGGAGCCGTAAGAGGTAACAGTAACATAATACGCTGATCGTAGGCTGCTTTTAAATGAACATTTATTTATAAAACAAAATATCTTCTTTGGCCATATTAGCCTACTACGGTCAGTTTTGATATTGTGACGAGCGCCACAAATAAATAAATGTATGGTAAACACATCCCACAGCACAACCACCTGAGCCCAACTTCAGTCTACTCATCACCTTAACTTTAACTGCGTTTGTAGCCGGTGCCATAGCCAGACTGATAAACAAACACAGACTGGAAGTTAACTTTGGGCCAGGCGTGTGCGCCCGATGAAACCGTATATATAAAGCTTGAAGCATCAGAATTGGCATCGGTATCGGCCGATCACCATGACAAGAAATCGGTACTCAGTGTCGGCTGCAAAAATCCTGATCGGAGCATCCCTAGTTTCTACCAATCTCATGTTAATCTTGAGTACCTATAGAGTAGCATTGCATCCTTCATATCTGCGAAGAGCCTTTAGTTTTATCAGATTTATAAAAGACACTAAGATACAACTGTCCCGCTTCTCTCAGAAAACAGTCGAGCTCCTGGAGGCGTGCCATGGGTGGAGTTAAAGAGCCACGAGCATGCGCAGCTTTTGCATAGCATAAATAAAACATCAACATAAATAAAACAGGAACAAAAACTTTATTGACTTAAATTAACTATGGCTAACAAATTAATGAATGAAGCACACTGATGGGTCAGCTCTTGCTCTGGTTGATGTGTGCGCGCTAGTGGTTCAACGGATCACAAATCTCACGGTTCGGATCATATTATGGTTTTTGAGCCACGGATCCTTTTTCGGGAATCGCAAGAAAAAAACAATCTATGTAACTTTGCTTTCCATAAGTACGATACCACAGCAAAAACTCTTAGCCTAAGAAAGTTTAAACATTATTAAAGAGACAAGTGAACAGCTAGTAAAAATAAGAACAAATAGGCTACACAAATTACAAGCATAGATAAATACAACAGAACAATGTTACAAATAAGGTCGGTAGTATTCAGATGCAGAAATGTAATAATTAAGTGTAAAATAAAACTGCATAGTGTTCACTGTATAAATTAAAAAATAGATTAATCTTTGTCAAAAACGTGTTTTGTGGTTTGATGAGCATAATGACAGCAGCAGGTATTATTAGGCTGCTGCCCCTTTATGACCTGATGCATGGATCCAATATAGCCTAATGATACGCATCCGATTTCTTTCTCAGCTTTTCTCGTTCACTTAAGACACATCAGACTGCATTTGCCACAATGATTGTCGAGATCGGTATTTTGTCATAATTTTATGTATATGCGTCTGTTCAAAGGCAAGGAGTGAATGAGATAGGAAAGATGGTTCAGTTCGGTGTTCGAGCGCAGTCAAACGCGCCTCTCTGCATGTGCGAGCTTCATGTTTGTGCGGCTGTGATAGAAAACACCGCGCAAGTAACAAATCGAGTTCCATTTCACCTTTTCCAAAACTTATACGAACCCTGAAGGACTGTTTTTGGCACAGAAATACTCTGTCATACGTCCCACTCGCTTTTTGAGACTTTGGTTTAGCATGAGAAACCAACTCTTTAGCAGTGTAAATAAGTCAGATTGCATGAAATAGCATTAGGCATCCCCTTTAATAATCAATACTTTTTGCAGTTAAGGTGTCTAAATGGAATTTGTCAGTCGGCTGTAGTTAAACAGTTCTCATTTTTTTTGTTTTCATTCTCAAAATGGTATTTTAATAAAGTCTTTCTCTTGGTTCACACACATACATGGTTGACCTTGTTTATAAGGTAAACTGTGGCTCACTGTGTAGCTCACTGTGCAGCTCACAAGTTCCAAGTATACAGTATGTGATCATGCCAAAAGAGAATTTTCTTAAGAAATGAAAGAGAACTTTCTCAGGAAATGCAAATAAAAACGGTCCTTCAATCTATACAGATTGTATATTAATTTAATTTACAAATTATTTATTTAGTAATTCTTTGATCATATTAACTCGACAGTTTTTACTAAATTGATTATTAAAATTGTTGTCTATAACTAAATTGCAGTTGTAAAAAAAAAAAATAATAATAAAAAAATTCATCCCCAACATATAAATGCTTTCCACACCATTGACCACAGCTCTGTAAAAGATCATGCAAAATGGTCCTATGAAAACAAGATGCACAGATATCATAGGAATTTGTTGTCCTCTTGCAGTCTCCCACATCTACAGTATATCTATGAAGTTCTGTTATATTTGCTCATCATGTAAAATACTGTTACAGGATCTGCGGACACATTCATAAAGCTTAAAAACAAACAGAGCTCTGTCATCGCTGTCAAATAACTCAATTCAAGCAGAATCAGAGATGTTGGCAGTTTGTCAAGTTTCAAATTACACAAAACGGTCTTTAGCCTTAATTCTTGCTGAACCTAAGGAAAAAAAGTACGATTTTTGAAATAGCAAATCCTTCAGTGTATCTAGCAAAAACAGCTTTAGTCATGCACTCTGCAGAGCAGGGAGTTAGTGTGAATGTTTCATCTCCCACAGTGAGTCAGGCCTGTACACTGAACTATGGCACTAAAGCTACAGAAGGCAAGTCAATGAAGGCAGTGTTCAGCCTCTGACGGGTGCCATATCTGTAATCAGGCGGCCTCATGCAAGCTTGTGTTTTCATAAAGTTATTTCGACTGAGTCTAGATCCTGTTGGACTTAACTGTAAAAATTAAAAAAGCTAAAACGTTTGCAGCAACATCATCCTTTAAAATGTGATTTAAATTTAGACAATTACAAACACCTTAATCTAATGTCTAAACGCCCCGAGATGAGAATTCCTCACAGCCCAAATGAATGTGCTTCATGTTGAGACACAAACCTCAAATATTTAGGAACAATTCAGAGCTAAATCTAATTAGCAGTTATTGGGCAGATTGCATATATGCCTGGTGGTCTAATTTTGACTGTGGCTGGCTTACCATGGTGCATTGTCTGTGACAGTCACACAGGAATCAACACGCTCACTGATTTTATGCAAATGGAGGATTGAGCCAGGACTTGCCCTCTTCCTCAGTAAATACGAGGCCTCCGCCTGCGGATCTGATTCCTGTGGAGAGGACTGTGGCAGTTTGCAGAGGTGGTGCGCTCAAAGCCAAAGCTTGCTACTAGGACAGTATGGCAGATCTGAAGAACATTTCCAAGTAGCTCATTCCTCCTCTGGAATTCAGAGACCCTCAATGCCCTACTGACAAACCAAAGCTCACTGAACCCCATTCACTGCAAAGCATGATGCCAAAGCTAAGCAAAGCGCATATTCTTCAAACCACTAAATGCCTCACTAGCACTGTGAGCCCTGTTTGCAGACTTCCACTAGCCAAGCACAAAAACAATAGTGTCTGCTCTTATTAGCTCTGTTCTAAATCTAGTGAGCTGCCTTGCTGCCTACGGCCTACATACAGGAGGCTGCACCCAAAATGGAATGGAATTCAAAATAGACAATGCAAGTGAAAAGATTATTAAGATTTCAATTAATTATATTTATAATATACACACACATATATTTATAGCATACACTAATACACCAAAAAGAAACTAATTAACTTTTTTAGAAAGAATGCATTAAATTGATCAAAAGTAAAGTCATTTATAATGTTACAAAAGATTTACAAACAGTTTACAAAAAATGTTAAGCAGCATTCAACATTGATGATAATAATAAGAAATTATTTGTATTATTAGAATGATGTAAGAATTGCGTGACATTGAAGACTGAAGTAACAACTGATAAAAATACAGCTTTCCAATCAGAGGAATAAATTATATTTCAACAGAAAACAGTTATTTGACATTAAAAATGTCACAACATTCTTCTAAATATCCTATATAATATATTCTTCTTATATAATATATTATTTTCTGTTTAGCAGAAGAAAGAAATTCATGCAGGTTTGGAACAACTTGAGGGAGAGTAAATGATGAGAACATTTCTATTTTTGGGTGAAATATATCTTTAAGAGTTTGGAAAAGTTTAGGAAGCAGCATCAAGTTGCTTCCGACAGAGGTTGCTCACTAGGTTTCGGAACAGCTATTACGATATGTCTTTTCTAAAAAAAAAAAAGTGTTTTAGAAAATCATAATCATCTTGACCTTAGTATATTTGCATCTCATCACATCGTCGCCATCGCAGTGCATGGACCCGACCACAGCAAAGGATCAGATGAGAAGCAGACGTCTGTCTCCTAATTTTGAATGTCTGGCAGTTACCAAAGACAGATTGCATGGTCTGATACAGTTAAACACTGAGCGTCACATTATTTACAAATATATATTGTATTTATCAAATTTGTGTTTTTAATCATTGTACGGAATGGATTATATTTACAATCAACATTTCTGTTGCTGTGTCATTTTTCACTGAGCTCAAAGTAGAGCATAGGATATATAAGATGTAGGATATATGTAGGATATATAAGATGCTGCCTTGTAATTTGGTTTAAAAAGAGATCTTAGCAGGCAGTATAAATTAGTTGCCTACCTTTTGGAACAGCCTTCGTGACGGAAGTGTGCCTATAATGCCTCACCTTCAGAGGGAGCTCACTAGCTTTTGCTTGTGAAGTGTTCCTGATCCACTGATTAGAAATATATTAAAGTCACATCCAGAGATCTGCTAACAGTGTCTGTTGTACCTTGACATGGCACAGTGAGAGTTTCCAGGGGCCGGCTGTCCGGTTTGGCTCCATCTGGAGGTTCGGGTGGGCTGGCACTGTGGCAGTGGTCCTCCTTGGACATCTGTTCTGGAGCCAGGTGCCAGGTGACTAGAAATTACCCTGCAAAAGAAACACACAGATGAAAACATAGCTAAAGCTTGCAAACACACAGTTGTCCTTGTTCCCACTATCGCTTTCCCCACCTATTGTTTGGCTCATGTCAGTGGGCCAAAGAACTTAAAAAACACCAGCGGCATGGGAAATCATGCTTGGCAGAAGAAGAAGAAACTAAAACGGCACAATGAAGTAGAACATGGCCAAAAACGATCAATATATGGTGCGCTAAGATACAATAGACTTGTGCAAACGTTCATGTCATTAACTAAATAAAGAAATAAACACAATTTTGATGCTCAGACCAAGGCATTCCTGTGGTGAACATGCCATTTCAAAAGTTTCTTTAATTAAAATGTCATGTGCAAAATGAATACTTATTTCGCTTCTTAAAACAAGTACTTCAAGACAAGATAAAGTTACTTCATAACTACTAAAAACTTCAATAATACGAACAATATTATAATAATCTTGCATGAATCGTGCAGCGCACACAACACCATGATTCTATTGGTTTTCATGCTGTGGTTTGGCTGTGGCGAGTCTCTGCACGCTCCTGCTAAAACTCACTCAAACCTGTTGATCGTGTCCATAGTTCACTTTATAGACAAACCTGAGGCAGAAATGTAAAACTAAACAGTCCAAACGTCTTACCTGCAACGGTCACTCGATACCAGTGTTGTTTCAATGCTGCATCTTTTAGTACTCGAGCAAAACAAACTTTCAAGTGTCCGGTTTAGCGGGGAAAGGTCTTTTCTTTCTCTTCATGTATCTCTCTCTCTCTTCAAGTATTGGAGTTGTTTAATTATTTACATGAATGTTGACACTCGTTGTTTCTCATTTGTTAATTTTATCTCGCCAGTTAACTCCAGCATTGATTTATCTTCGTCTTCAAACTCTGTCAGAGCCAAAAAACTTGACAGAAAACATAGTAAAGTAGAAAAAAGAGCCTGTTATTTCTCACCTCACTAAAGGAAGACAAGAAATAATCAGATGTAAACGGCTATGAAAAGTTTTTTCCTCTCAAATCCTCCTAATTTCCAGAAATTATGACAGCTCGCGCGCTGTCGTTCAGGACTCTCGCGCAGCAGCAGCAGTCGCGCACTCAGCTCCAGACTGTTCGACAGGAAATGACATTGAGGGCTGATTACTCTTGACTCCCTGCAGGCAAGAGATGCCTGTACTCTACAATTACACTGATTATACTCTCCAGGACCACATTATAAACAAAAACACGTCAATAGAAGACAGAAAAGTAATATAATATAATATAATATAATATAATATAATATAATATA